TCAGAGTCGATCAAAAAATCAAGACTAAAAAGGTAATTAATTCAAAGATCTTGTAAAATCCGCATGCAAAATATGCAGTTGTAATGCACAATTTGTAATGATTGTAGGTGGAAGGACTTCTTCACCGATTGCACATTGCTCAACCTAAAAGGATAGATCCTAATCGCGTCCCATGTATACCGGAGAGCGTTCTGAAGAAGAGGCAGGCTGCCGCAGAGAAAGCCACAAGAAAGCGTAAATTGGAGAGGGAGATAGAAGAGGAGATGGGAGATGATTATGTGCTTGATCTGAAAAAGAATTACGATATTGAGGGAGATCAGAAATACGATATCATTCCGGAGATATGGGAAGGTCATAATATAATGGATTACATAGACTCAGATATCTTTGAAGTCAGTACAAATTTGATTGTATCAATGCATGATGATGCGAAACATGTTTCTATACCGTTTTTCCATTTTCAGAAATTAAATCAACTTGAAAAGGAAGAGCAATTGAGGGAAGAGGCCGGTTTCTACGATTATAAGATATCAGAATTATCGGAAACGATGCGCGAGATCGAACAGATGGCGAAACAGATTCGTGAGAAGAAGTTTGTCATGAAAGACGAGGCACGAATATTAAAGGCTTCTACGAAACCGATTATGCCGCGTACAGCCGCAGCTAAGACTCGCGATCGATCGGTTGCGAGATTGAAGGAGCAGATGGAAGATCTGGGTGTGGATATGGAAGATACTGAAAACGTGAGTGCTAGTATTTAAATATTTTCAAGAAGATAGTTTAAGACAATTTTTTGTATCACACTAATTCAGTCACTGTTCTATTGTAATTTATAAATTCTATTATATCAAGTATTATATATATTATGTTATATTCTATTAATTGCAACTATAGGCGCACTTCAAACGAATGAGAGGACGGTCCAGGTCGCGCTCAGAACCTGCTAGGAAACGCATGCGTGTGGAATCGGCATCACAGTCGCGTGCCCGCAGCGTCTCGAGACCACCACGGGATGAGATGGGCGTTAAAAACGTAGAAGTAAGAGACAAATAGACAAATAGACAATAAATTTTAAGGCTTCAGCGCAACAGTGATCTATATTTTAGAAAAATTAATGTTAAAATGAAGACACAATTAAATTTAGATTAAATTTGCTCAACTTCCTTAAAAAATATAGATTATTGAAGAGCTGAATATCTCATTTTAATTATTTTCCAATTTGAAAGCATATTTATTTACACAATAAATGGAAATATAGAATTTATCCTTGTTTGCGTTTATTGCAGATGAAGATGAAGCTGAGAAACATAGCTCATAAGACACAGAAAAAGAAAATAGCCAAGAAAGGTCTCAAGGGAGAAGGTGATCGTTTTATTGGCACTAAAATGCCGAAGCATTTATTCTCTGGCAAAAGAGGAGTCGGCAAAACGTCCAGGAGATAAAGCTTTCACTTATATTTTACGCACTAATAATCCTTCATTTATATTATATATTTCTGTATATATAAATAAAACTGTCACCCTCGTAAATGTAACTTTCAATCCAGATTGTGTATTCAAGATATTATCACAAAATTCATTTCGACGCGGATACTGTCGCTGACCTATTTCTGTTTTATTTATAATCAATGATGCGATTATAGTTTGTGAATGAAACTCACGTGTTTATTGAGGAAAGAGCGAAGATCGCTTTTCCTTTCTTTTATCATTATCGGTCACTAAATAGTCTGTTTTGAAAATAGTATTTTTTGTGACGATTCCGTATAGCATGAATGCGCGTGGTTGCATAATGCATACAAGGTAACCTTCGAACTCGGGACGGGGTGAGTAGCGGCGTCACGCTTAATAAAATTTTATTGCTGTCGTGGTCAGATAACCCCTCGCGTCGATTGTAGCTTCCACATTACATTCTATTCATAAAATCATAACGGTTGCCTCGAAACATTGATTAAACAGTTGTATGATTTAATTTTGAAATTATTATCTATAAAACATTACAATTTTATAAATAATAATAGAATATTGATAAATTAATACTTAAATTGGAATTTGCTCTAATTTCGTTACTTTACATATTTAAACTTTAACTTTTAAATTTTAAAACATGGAGTTAAAAATTTGAAATTATGAAAAAACGTGATTTTCTTTGTGGCATTTTCATTAAAAATAATTTTTTAATTTTCATTTAAAAAAATTTGATAGGATTTTTTTCAAATTATGATTTAGTTAAATATCACAGAAAAGCGATAGAAAAAGAAGAATGAGCTTTTTTTTTATTGAAACTGCTTTGTGTGTTAATTATGTATAACGAGCATTGACTAGCATAAATATTGTATTTGACTTCTATTAGCTTTTTCGAAAATCTCGATTTGTTAATGATAGAAATTGATACAAAATTGTAAGGAGAAAATTCTGTCCGTATTTTGTAAAAATTTTTAAATTATAAATATTTTAAAATTATTTATTTTTTTCGCGTCGCATCAGAAATAAGAAGAGAACGAGCGAGTTCAAGTCGGCAAAGCGGCTAGATCTGCTTGTCAAGTAAATGAGCATGATTGGTTCTTACCTGTGGATCTAACCAATCATGTTTAATTGCTCAGCGAGCAGACCTAGTCGCTTTGCTCACTTGAACTCGCCCATTACTTCTCCCAAATCATGTTTTCCTAATATCCTGAATTTAGTTGCTGAATTTAATTTGCATCTTTTTATTTAAATTTGTATCAATTTGCATCTTTTGAAGAGCGAGATATTCGAATTGTATTTAAGATTGTGTAACTTCTTACAGCAATATATTGTTCTAATAATTTTGACGATTTGTGGAGTGTAATGAAAGACATATTCCAAGTCTCTCTTCTCTCGCTGCAATAGTCAGTCCACAAAAAATTATAAATTAAATAAATTTATATTTAAAAGAAATTCGATCATATGGTTATAAACGAGCCAATTTATAGAGAAAAAAATTTTAAATATATTCTAGATATATATTGTCGAAATTTAAGAAAAAAAATGGAAAGATAAAAAGAACATCATGTATTGTTTATTTATGAAGTTACAATAAAAATAAATATAACTCTTTGAATCCTTGAAATGAGTTATTTAGGGCTGGTTGTTTCATCTTTAGATAAACTATGTAGTAATTTACTTATTGGATAAACAAAAGAGTAAAAGAGTAACAATATAAGAGAGTAAGAGTATAAAACAGTGAGTTGAAGTTTACCGAAAGGTGGAACAACCCAACCTAAGTCTAATAAATTCTATTCCTTTATTAGTAAGGAATTGATGTAAAATTTAGACAATTGTAAAAAGCAACGGTATTCCTTGGTATAAGATCAATCTAAATTTTGTTTATTTAACTAAATTGTAATTTATTTAGATTTATCAACGCGTAATGATAGGAAATGAAAAAAAAATAAGCAGCACGCTTTTTATTGAAAACTGATAGATCATATATTTAAGACTTCGCTATAAATGAATCTCCATCATCATAAGTTGACAATAAGAGGGACAAGAATAATGATAATAAAAGAGCGCCGCTGGGTGGTTAATTAGATTATAATTTCACAATAATGCACGCAATCATAAATTTTTATACAATTTGATACATCGGACATTAGAAAAACAACGATCTTGTTTCTCAACAATCTTGTTGTACGCTTGATAAATATGCGATGCACATTTTTTCGATAAAATGCGAATAATATTATCTCACAGATAAAACTCGAAATGCTCACGCATACATGGAGATTACAGTGCGGCGGCGGCGGCGGCGGCGGCGGCTATCGATCGACGTAGATCTCGTGGAAAATATGTAATGGAATTTTTGCGAGAGCATAATACATTCGTATTAAACTGCTTACAGGGGGAGGAATCGAGAAATTTATTTGGGACTCAGAGATTCCATTCGTAATACTCTATAGGAACTAAACGAAACCTCAATACAAAACAGGTTCGATAAGAGCGAAGACTTTAGCTTGTGTCACAAAGTTACATTAGCATCAGACATCGATCCGCTCGTTTCGCAGAAGCCTAGCGTGATTGTAATAAATTAACAGATAGAGGATATGCGTTACAAGATGATGTTATGGCGTTTCGGGGGGATGCTCATTCGGCTAAAACAAGACGACGTATCCTTACAGAAATCTACTAATACTGGCCAATTTAAGAATTTATTACACGCATTTTTTAAAAAGAAAAAATTATGAAAAAATTATAGATTTTTCTATATTGTATTTGAAAGTAATACAAGAGATTTGGTGATGATTTGGAATTTCAAGGATCAAAAATTATTTTAATAAGAAGTAGGTATGCTTTTAAAAAATAATTAAAATAAAATGAGAAAAATTACATTTTAACTATAAAATATTAAATATTTTAAATATTAACTTTACTCAATTTTCTTACATCATACATGTATATAAAATTTTTATTTTTATATAGAAAGTATAAATTCCCAATTTCAGGCACTTTTTACAAAAATTATATATCTAATACAACCTTAATATCTTTCAGTAATAAATTAGCTTGCATTGGCTAATATTGGATTTCTATTAGGGTAGTCGTTGCTCATGATTATCGACGATTCGCAATGATTCGTTTCCGCTTAGCCGGATCTGGATAGTGAGTGAGAATGTCCTAATAATATAAAATACGATCGCTATATAATAAGGAATATAATGACAAGTAAATATCGTTAGTATCACAGTCGATGCGAGACCCTGGGTCTGGGCGAGCTTTTACAGGGTCTGAGTATTCGGTGATGCCTTGGATCGTCCGAATCGTATGAAGAAAGAAAAGAGAGAAATAATGGAAGTCTAGAGGGATCGTGGATGTGCACGAAAATCTTAAAGTCAAACGACGGTACATTCTTTTTACTTTCGCTATTATCAGTATATTTATTAATAGTTGCATCTAATATCTTAACACACGCGAATGTGGATGGCATCACCGAACCGCAATTCGGACGATTCTTTGGTGAGTCCTCGGCCATGGTAGACTGTTTCACTCTCTTTTCCTCTCTTCTTATTTACGAGCAGGCGCACTCCAACACCTGGATGTTCTTCCAATAAGACACCTTCAGCTGCGTTGACTGGTTCTCGTCGAAGTAGACGATCATCAGCTGATCGAGCTTGCTGGGTGCGCAGCACGGCTTAGGTACCCTCTTCCGGTCCTCCTTCCACAATAGACTCTGCAGCAGAGCGTGATGATGTGCTGGATTGTATCGGGGTGGGCAACGGCCCTTACAGTAGCCGGCGTCGAAGCCCTTCGGGTATACGATGAACTCAAAGCCCTTCAGGTCCTTGAACATCACCGTCAGCTCGTGTCGACAGCATTTCTTGTTGTTGTCACCCTTACACCGGCTGCGCCGGCCTTTGTGCAGCGGCATCAGTTCCTCGGGAGTGGACCTCTTTCTTCTACCACTTCCAGGCTCCGACGTGGTGAACACGTTCAACGTTGCGTGGGAAACCTCGCGCCGTATCGGCTGACCGTCGTGAAGAAATTCCAGTTCGAGGCCGTGATTCTCCAGACTATCCTCGAGCCAGCTCGCAGCCGCTTCGGTGGAATCCAATTCCATCCACCGGGAACCCGTCGGCTCGCCCTGCGGGATCTCGCGCCGCAGCAGGAGACGTCGAGAGACCGACGTGCGGAGATAGATCAGCGCCTCGAGATCACGTGGACGTCTGTGATCGCCTTGGAGAAGGAATCTCAGGGACGCGTGATCGACCGTGACGTCCTCCGCGTCGCCGGAAACCGCGACGGGAAAGTACAGGGAGTGACGGTGGTACCCTCCCCTCAGGCTGAAGCCAAGACTCGATTTATTCCCCGGATGCTCTGTAACGAGAAAGAACCGCCGATGAGTACATATATCGTTACGTAAATGACAAATTGTGAAGTCGATAAATTCGCGTCATCACGATAGCTTCTGAATCGGATGACGATTTTATGTCACGATGGCCATTAATTACCATGATGAATTCTAAATGAATTACCAGATGAATTCTAATTACAATATATTAAATGTATAAATGCTATTACATAGATGTCTTTGATACTTATCCAAAGAGAAGATGTTAATGTTATTAATAGAATGTAATGCATCCCGTAATAATATAGTACTATGTAATGGCAATATCGCCTCGGCAAAATGTAATTAATTACTAATAGAGAATGTTGCGCGTTACGCAACACTACCATCGAAGCGTGTGAAACAAATGGAGGATAACAGATTCTAGTTCTTGCGTATTAATTAGCGCGGGGAAAAACTTTTCGTTTAGGCTACAATTGAATTCTTGCAACAGTGACACGGAAGGCTGAGCAAGAGTCTTGCTCGTAATCGTGACTCAGTTTCGCTTTGTCATCATTGTCAACGTATTTGTGGTACACACTTACATATATACCTATACCTCGAGATTTACAGATTATATTCACGGTAAATTTAGAGCGACGAAGAACAGCTCGCTTATCGTCTACGTTTATACCGCAATGGGAACGAACTTTTCTATGACCCTTGAACAAAATCAGACGACTGAAAAAGAAAACGTAAACAGATTTAAATTCAAGTCGACGTACAGGATGACGTTTTATGGCCAGAATATGCTCCAGTTTTATCCTCCGCAGACAAACCGAAAAATCTTCACACTTTACACATCACACATTTGATATAATAATGACGATTAAAAATTGTTACTTTGGAATTGCTTTCAAAAAAGAACAGAAGCATAAAAAAAAAAGAAAGGACATACTTTTATTATTCTAAAATCAATTATTACATCAAAATTGCATCTTACAATTAATATTACAAAATTTTAATGATGCAAATCATTCAAACTTTCTTTCAAAAAAACTTTGTCACAAAACTTTTTGCAGCATTGATCATTACACTTGAGTTTCCCACGCAATTATTGCTAACTTTGATGATCCAACAAAATTATTGTTAGATCTATATCTACTAAATCTCTGAATACTTTTTTGAGTTGTGATATTGTAGCGAATGCACATGGAAAAATTCCATCATTCTTTCCGCGTAAGCGACATATTTTTTACCACATACTTTACAGGAAAAAAAAAGAAAGTTTTTTCCAAGTATCATTTAATAATAAATGTTTAACTAAAATAAATTATTGGCAACAATAAATAAACAATAATCTTTTGTAATATAAAAAATTAGAATAATATACTTATCATATTAGTAAAATTTATATACGATGCTAAATAAGGCGTGACTGATGATTCGTGCGATCGTAGTTGCTTTCGCGCTCGAGCTAAATTTTCGATGAAAGCGCGAGACGGTTAATGAAAGAGTAGCAAACGGAAATTGCGTTTTGTCGGGGTTGCTTTAAAAGTGGCATTACATAAATGACAGGAACTGTTGAATTCCCAGTCGACCGACGCACGCTGTCACAATTCTCTCACGCGTATTTACGGATGCAGAATATGCAGATGCATGTGCGTTCCGCGACGAGCATTCTTGCCTCGGTGGAAGATTTGCGTGATTCGCCCACGTAAATATATTGGCAGAGGGATTTTCGCGAATCGAAACTCCGCCGGATGGATACTCGTCGCGCATAAACAAACACGACCAGTGATCTGAGTCATGGAACGGTATTCGACCTTCCAACAAAATCTGCCGCGGCATGTATTGCCGATTTAACCGATCCACGAAACAACTTGAAAATATCACGAAGATGATTTTAGGCGAATGCTCCTGAATTTAATTCCCCTTAAACACTCGCGACGCGATGTTTGACTAGGCAAAAACAACGGCTGCGTTCAGCAGAAAAAGCAGCTTTGGAATTCTTGTAAAATTCTTTAATATGTGTACTCTTTACTCTTAGTAAAACCTCATAGGATCTAAATATAAAAATCAATCATATTAAAGAATCTTACAACAGTTGCAAAACTATTTGTTCTGCTGAATGCAGCTAATAAGTAATCCAATCCGTTTCTCATTAAATATATAAATTTATTATTATATTTTGTTTATTAGATTTGTGTTCCGCAATATTTCTTATTACTTCTACTTGGCATGTGACTTTTATTCTGTGAAGAATTTAGTGTGTTTCGAATTTCGATTTAACGATGATGATCTGCTTCATTCTAAGAAAAAATAAAAAAAAAAAATTGTTATCTTCTGTCCGCAATATATTATTTCTTCTTGAGATATTGCCGGAGGAATTGGTCGCGAGCCAATATCGTAAATACTCTCGAACGAACGTACTATTAATGAGACCGCTCAAAGGGAGGATTTAGAATTTGTAAATCGCTCGTTTCGGCAGCTGTAAAAGCGCTTGAAGATGAAAGAGAGGAGGGTGCGAGAATCTGTGTTAGGGAAATAAATTCTTTGGAGAAAAGAAGAGGAGAAAGGGGTGTGAAAATCTCTCTCTCTCTCTCTCTCTCTCTCTCTCTCTCTCTCTCTCTCTCTCTGTGGGAGAGAAATAAATTCTTTAGAGAGGGAGGAAGGGAGGAGGGAGGGAGAGAGAGAGAGAGAGAGAGAGAGAGACAGAGAGAGAGCCGACTCCGATTGTTGGAAAGCCGGTATTCTCTCACCTCTTTTCGTTCCTCCTTTTAATTCGCTGATTAAGTCTTATTTATGGGGGCTCGCGAGGCTGTCGCGGTGCATTCAAGTGGTTGGCGCCGGTATTACGAGTACCACGATGATAATTACAGTGTGCTTAAGTAGAGATCTTCAATTAAGTAAGAGATTGGACATTCTCTTTAGACAACTTTTGATTGGACTGCTATATTCGGCACGGTGCTTAAAATAGAATGAGATGCATTTCATATTTGATTATGAGTGTCTGGTTTGTATTTTTTTTTTTTTTTTTTTTTTATTGAATCTGCCTGAATTCGAATTAATGCAATAAAATTTTTTATTTTATATTTTTTATATATAATTTTATAATATATACATAATTTTAAATATATTTTTTATAATTTTTTATATATAATTTTTTTAGATTTAGGCAGGAAGAAGTGTTTCGTAAGAGACGGAAGGTCTCGAATGTACGCTGGGAGAGAAAGGAAATACAACGTACTTTCCCAAGACGGGATATCGCTCTCTAAAATCTTTGGAGCGGAATCTAATTATAAATAGTGACAAAAGAAAGGCAACTTAACTTAAGCTAACTGACTATGTCAACTGAGTTCAATTGTCAATTTTTAAGAATGAGATTTCACTCTTTAGAGTTAGATTCCACTCCATTAGATTTTAGAGACCGGCGATAGCGATTGCACTTACTTGTCCAAAATAATTCTACGAGCAATAATAAATGTTAATTAACGGGCAATTACAGCATTTATAGCATGGTATTTGAGACGCAACACATAAAATATATTCACAATACTTTTACATTACTTGTTGATATAATGTTCTTGGACATTTTACTTTAAACCATCATCAGCAATGCGTATAATTTTCATAACAATATTCAATCCCCACAAGTTGAAGGTGGTCTTTGCGTCTTATGAGAAATACTTTTACTTCTCTTTGTTGTTTAACCAAATGGATAACTTCCGCTTTCGAAGCGCAACACGTAACGTTACATATTTGATTTCCACATGGATAGTATCTTTAGTAATATATCTATAATTTATTTTCTACTTACTGTAACGTAAACAACGAAGAGAAGTAAAGGCATTTCTCAACTAGGAAGTAGAGATCATCCTCTGTCAAACGCAGAGACCAACTTGTGGGGATTGAATATTGTTATGAAAATTAGAAAGCATTGCTGATGATTTAAAGTAAACCGAAACGTCCAAGAATATTGTATCAATAAGTAATGTAAAAGTATTGTGAATATATTTTATGTATTGCGCTCCAAATGCTCTCATTGTCCGTTAATTAATATTTATTATTATTTGATTTTCGAGAACTCTATTAAATATAATTTGTTTTTTAATTTCACGAGCTCATTATCTAATTTATTATCTGCTTTATCTGATCGCCACTTAGATTTACAACTGCAACAATTATCTCGACAGTAAAGGAGGTACGGAGAATATAAAAAGGAAAGGATGGAAACAAAGGATCTGAATGAGGACTCTATTTGCTTTATCTCGACGTGTGAAAGTGGCTCGACAATTTCTTTCTCACGAGAAACTCTTTAAATAAGCCGCGAGAATAGGCTCGCGAGAATCATCGACACGTTAAGAGATAGACAGAGAGAAAATTGTGGAAAATAATGTCTGTTGCTTGAAATCCCTAAAAAATTTTTGCTACGCTATTTATACTCATTTCTAACCAATGCAATGTAAATTAACTTTAATCTCTTAATTTTATTTATTTGTTTATCTTTTTTTACAATTTAAGGAAAAAATTTATTAAATTCTAGTAAATAACTAAATATTCACTAAATGTAAACATACATTTATTACGTACAAAAATTATTAATTTAAGTATCATTTTTTTATTGAGTAAATATTTCTCTATGCAAGTAAGTCTTAGTACTATTCAAACAAATATTTATTAAAATTTGATAATTTTTTTCAGTATAATCATTAGAACTTGAAAAGGATAGAAAGTAAATTAAATCGACAATAAAGTTAATTTACATTAATAGAAATAGACATTAATGATGATATAATTATGTAAAAATGTCTAGAAATTGAGAGAGAAGGTTCGAGCCTTTCCATGCTTCGCCGCATGTTCAGAATGCGTTACTGATTAGTGCCCTTTATTTATGACTTGTCGCACACACATGTACATAAGAAAAGATACGATGAGGGAGGCTGCGTCCCCCCCGCAGAAAATTCGTGACACCGAGCGATTTTCAGAGCCCCAACACATTTCTCGGTTATCACGTTCCTCGTATAATTTATCTGCCTGACGACAG